TTTTTCTTACCTGTTCTTCCTGCCTTCCAGATACCCCAAATTTCCTTCTTTTATCTTTTCTTTTCATTTAACCATTCTTTTATGGTAGATCTGCTGGTGATAAATTCTCTGAGTTTTTCTTCATTTCAGAATGCCTTGATTTCCGATATAGGACTCTGGGTTGACAGTTTTTTTCCTTCAGCATGGGAAAAATGTTTTGCCACATTTATTTTTGTCTGACCTCCATGGTTTCTGATGAGAAATTCGGTGTAATTTAAATTGTTTCCCCCACCCCTACCCTCTCCCACCCTCACAGGTAATGCTTCATTTCTGCCTGGCAGCTTTCAAACTTTTTTCTTTGTCAAGTTTGACTATGATGTTGTCTTTAGACTATTTGTGGTTTGTTCTGTTTGGGGTTTGTTCAGCCTCTTGAATCTATAGGGTTATGTCTTTTGCTAAATTTGGGAAGTTTTGCCATTATTTCTTCAAGTACTTTTTTGGCCCCTCCCTCTTTCTCCTCTCTTTCTGAGGCTCTGATGGCACAAGTCCTAGGTCTTTTGTTAGAGTCCCACTGGTCCCTGAGGTTCTGTTATTTTAATTAAATTTTCTATTATTCAGATTGGGTAATCCTTGTACCCTATCTTCTAGTTCACTTATTTTTCCTCTGTCTCCTCCATTCTTCTGGTTGGGCCCATCCACTGATTTTTCAAAAAAAAAATTTTTTTTAATTTAGTTATTACATGTATTTTAAGTTCTAAAATTCTCCTTTGGTTCTACATATCTTCTATTTTATTGTTGGGACTTTCTATTTTGTTTTCTGAAACTTTCTAGTTTTTCATTTACTTCAAGCGTATTTTTAATGGCTCATTGAAGTATTTTCATAATGGCTGCTTTGAAATCTTTGTCAGGTAACTCTGGTATCTCTGTTATCCCATTGTCAGCGTCTTTTGATTTCCTTGTTTTATTCCACTTGAGATTTCCTGGCTCCTGGTTTGACAAATGATTCTCAACTGATCTGGATACTTTGTGTGTTATGTTTTGAAACCCTGGATCTTATTTAAATCATCTGTTTTAGCTGATTTCCTGGGACGCTGCTCTTGCAGGGGAAGTGGGGGCACTGCCCCATTACTCCCAGGTGGGAAGAAATCCGGGTTCCCTACTTGACCTCCATTGACCCCTGGGAGAAGGGATCCTGATGACTGCAGGGTGGGGATAGGAGTTCTCCAGTCCCCAGTAGGTCTCCACTGATACCTCCCTGTATCAGCAATAGCACTTGATGTGTAGAAATTTATCTTATAAATGACACGTCAGTTAGGATATCTATAGCTGCAAGTAACAGAAAATCCAACAGCATGATTTGAACCATCAGGGTATCTGTCGTGATGTCAACAAGAATTCTAATAAGTAGTCTCAGGATTAGTCTGGAAGTTCAGTAATGCCATCAGGGATCCAGATTCTTTTTATCTTCCTGCTATGAAATCTTCTCAACCTTATGCCACTACTACGTGGTTGCAAGGTGGCTGCCACTGGCCCAGGAATCATATCTACATTCCAAGGCAGAACAAAGTGAGAAGAGTAGCACCAGAGAACTCTCCTCTTGCATCTATAGTTCTTATGAGGGGGAAAACCTTTCCCAGAAATATCCGAGCAGGTTTCTGCATACATCTTACTCAGTGTAGCTGTGTCATATGCCCATCCCTTGCTGCAAGGGAGGCTGGGAGAATGAACATCTGGATAATAGGATCAGGGTTTTCAAAATCAGCTAAGAAGCAGGGGAAGAGTGTATGCCCCCTGAGAATATGAGATCTCCCCCTGCCTCCCGACCCAGTGGGGAATCTCTTAGTAGGGAGGAACACGTGGGGTTGGGGCACCTGCTAGGAGGCAGAAAGCCATGTGCATGAGGACCTCTCATTCATTCTCCTTTTGGAGTGATTTCTGTGTTGACCTCATCTCAAAAAGTCAAAACCTAGCTGCCTGCCCCCCTAACCCTTTCCACACGGTGATGCTGGAACACACAACACGTTCACAGGAGCGTGCTCGCTCCAGTCATGGAGGTGGGTTCCAGGGGAATGTGTGGAAAATCCCCTCCTCCCACAGATGGTCCTGACTTTCCTTTCTTGGTCGGTCCGAGGTGCATGACCCCACACAGGTGCACGTGAGCCTAGGTTTGATGATTTTGTTGAGGAGGTAGAAGGACAGGGTTCACTACATCCCCCCCCGTTTGTCTCCCCACCAAGCGGGACGAGGGCATCCACAGTGTCCAGATGCCTCTGCCGTCGGGAATTGGCAAGAGAAGCAGACAAGGTGCCCTCACGGCTCCTGCTGCTGTGCTGAGACCCAGGCTGGCTCTGTGGGCTTGTCCGCTGAGATCGGGAGAGAGGGACTTGCGAGGCAGAGAACGATGGGAAACAGGGATGCAGACAGAAAGAAGAGCGACAGGGAGAGGCTGCGTGTGTGGCGGTGGAATGCGGGGCGCTGCTGGAGAAGGCGATGGAGAGGCCGCTGAAGTGTCACAGCGGGAGGGGCCGTCCACCTCCCTCCCGCTCAGCAGCTCACAGCACATGCTGTTGCCCAAGGGCAGCAGAGAAGTTTCAGAGTCCAGGACAACAGTACAATTTTATGTAAGTCAAAGTCCACTTTAAGAAAAACATGGGAGCATAAGAAAGTTACTAATGTTTGAAGGCAAAGGACATTTTGTCCAAATGTTACAGAATGAAGTATGTGGTCTATGTCATGTAGCACCACCCCAGGGAGGCCCCTAGAGGTGATGTCCCCTGGAGGTGATGTCCCCTGGAGGTGCTGTCCCCTGGAGGTGATGTCCCCTGGAGGTGATGACCCCCTGGAGTTGATGTTCCCTGGGGGTAATGTCCCCCCTGGAGATGGTATCCCCTAG